GCCATGGCGACACCCAAAGCCTTTCCTCTGCGGTGTCATGTTTGCTCTTTTATCTCTATGGCTCAGGTAAGATCTGCTCCTCCTCCTCCTCCTTTCTTCATTGCTCAGTAAATCCTACAATTCCTCCACTAAGAACAGAATGAATTTTAAACATTAACTTAGGTGGCCGTGACTCAGCAGGGTCTCTATTTCCATGGGATTTGCCTTTTAAAAGATGTTTGATAGAAAATATTTGTAATGTACAGCCAACAAAGGGCAAGTATCCAAGATGTGTAAGTAATTCCTAAAATTCAATAGGTGAAAAGACAGACAACCCAAAATTCAAAAATGGGAAAAGGCACAACAGGCACGTTACCAAAGAAGATATCCAAATGGACAACAAACAGACTAAAAAGACACTCAAATGAATAGGTCATCAGGAAAATACAAAGTAAACCCCCAAGGCGATAACCCTCCACAGTGACCTAAATGCTTAAAATTACAATATAAAAGGTGGGTGAGGAACAACCGGGATTCTCATACATTGGTGGTAAAATGCCAAATGGCAGAAGCACTTTGAAAAACAATTTTCAGTGTTTTGTAAAGTTAAACATTCGCCTCACCTAAAACTCAGCAATCCCACTCTCAGATATTTATCCAGGAGAAATGAAAACATAAGCTCACAAAAAACGACTTCAACAAAAATATTTATAGCAGCTTTATGCATAATAGCCCCAAATAAGAAACAACCCAAACGTCTGTCAGTGGATGAATAGATAAACAAATTGTGATATATGAACAAGGGAATATTCTTCCGCAGTAGAAAGGAGCAAACTACTGATACACATAACAATGATATGGATGAATCTCAAAAGTAATAGCTGAGTTGAATAATCCACACCTGATATGGTTTGACTGTGTCACCACCCAGATCTCATCTTGAATTGTAGCTTCCACAATTCCCACGTATTGTGGGAGGAACCTGGTGGGAGGTAATTCAATCATGGGGGTGGGTCTTTCCTGTGCTGTTCTTGTGATAGTGAATAAGTCTCACAAGATCTGATGTTTTTATAAAGGGGAGTGTCCCTGCACAAAGTCTCTCTTGCCTGCCACCATGTAAGATGTCACGTCCCTTGCACTTCTGCCTTGATTGTGAGGCTTCCCCAGCTACGTGGAACTGTGACTCCATTGAACCTCTTTCCTTTATAAATTACCCAGTCTTGGGTATGTCTTTATTGGTAGCGTAAGAACAGATTAATACAACACCCAACAGTGTACAGACTGTCACGGTTTCATCTTTATGAAATTCTGAAACAGCAAAACTAGCATGTGGTCATAGAAATCAGACCTGTGGTTGTCTTGGGAAGGGTATCTGGATGTCAAGGGGTAAAGATTGGCTGCAAGGGGAAACAACTTTCTGAGATAATAAAATGTTTTCTATCTTGATTGGGGTGATGGCTACCAAGAAGTATATACTATATTTGTCAATAATTTATCAAATTGCATATTTAAAATAATATAAAATTTATGTAAATTATTTCTCAGAAAGTTGATTTATAAAAAATAATACTGGGAGATATTAATACCAATACACATCCACCATAATTGATAAAATGTGAAAGACTGACAATATCAAAGGTCAACAAAGATATGAAGCCAACAATGCTCATTCAGAATTGTGGGGAAAAAAAGGCAGGACGATCCACTTGGGACAGCATGCCGTCTGTCTGGCAGTATGTAATGAAGCTGATCATATGCACACCTAATGGTTCAGCAACTTCATTTCTACATGTATACCTGTCAGAAATGCATCTAGACCAGAAGATATACACAAAAATGCTTATAGCAGCATTGTTCATCGTAACTACAGATCAAGAATCATTCTACAGCCCATCAACAGTAGAATGGATAAAGACTGTGGTATATCAGACTCTATAGTCATTTTACACACAATTTTTAGCATTGTGGAGGCTAAAGCAACTCCACCTTGGATGCTAATCTGCCCTGTTGGCTTCTGATTAACCGATGTTCCAGGAAGGCCTCCAAGATTTCTTGTTTATCTGCTGTGCCTTGTATAAGAGCAGGTACTTACCATAAATCTCACCCTTAGGTTAAACAACCTAGATGTTATTATGCTTCCATTGTCTTACACATCCCTTCTGAATGACCCCTCCCCTCTGGTATATAAGCCCCAAGTCCTGGGGGGTAGTGGCATAGGGATTCACCATCTTGTCTCACTGCCACCTGAGACACAGAGATAGCTTCTGTTCATAAGTCCCTGTTAAATGTTTCTTTCTAAGAAACTGGATTTGTCAACCATTTTTTTTTCAGCCTTGAAACTTTGGGGCAGGTTTGCATAGACCTGCCCACGACAAAACAAGCAAAGAAAAAGATTATGAGACAAATGAAGACACAGGAAAATGAACATGACCTATAATGAAAAGGAAAACAGTCAGTAGAAGTAGACCGTCTAGTGGTCCAGATAGTGAATGTACTAATACATGATGCAGCATGGTTGTACCTCAAAAACATTATGCTAAGTGAAAGAAGCTAGGCACAAAATGTCATTTATTTTTTATTTTGCTTATATGAAATATCCAGAATAGATAAATCTATACAGACAGAAGGCAGACTGGTGGTTGTCAGGGTAACTCTATGGGTAGAAGGAAATAGGGAATGAATAGTTAATGGATTAGGGTTTACTTTTGCAGTGATGAAAATGTAGAACTAGAGGTGGTGGTTGGACAACACTGTGATGGGACTAAATGCCACTGAATTGTACACTTTAAAATTATTATTTTTATGTTTGTGTATTTCACTTTGACTTAAAATAATTCCTTGAATTGGTTTGATAGTGGGATAAACACAGTAGAAGAGAAGAATAGGAAACTCAAAGACAGTGCAATAGAAACTATCCAATTGAATAAAGTACGTAAAGAAAAAAATAATGGAAAAAAGAGAAAAAAGCATGAGAATTACGTAGGAGACTGTCAGCCAATATGAAATTTGTGTAATTAAAATCTCAGAAGAAAAAGAGCAAGAAAATAAGGCAGGAAAAAAAAATCTGTTCAAAGGGATAATGGCTGATAATTTCCCAAAAGCAGCGACAAACAACAACCCATAGATCCAACAATCTCAGAAAATCCCAAGCAGGATAAAAATAAGAAAGCCATCCCTAGGCACATCCTGGTCAAAGGACAATAAAAAGAAAAACGTAAAAGCAGTCAGAGCCAGGTGAGGTGGTTCATGCTCTTTTTTGTCATGAATATGGGTGAGGAGTAATCACTTCAAACCAACTAGACATTGAGCTAAGTTGGCACTGGGCTGTGGGTTTAGTTTCATTCAGTTCTAATTGTAAGTCTTTAGCACAAAATTGGAAAAACAGATTCTTCCCTTTTGGTAGAGAACCTTGTCTCTACCCAGACTGTGTCTCTGATAAATCAAAAGACTGCAGGAGATTTATCTCTGACTTTCCAGCCCAGCCTGTTAGGCTCCAATGCCACACCAGTGCTCAAGAAAAGCCAATGGGGAGAAACCCAGGAGAGACCTGACTGCAAGTTTGAGGCTCCTCCAAATTCTGATCCTTCATATCAGCCCACAAGGCTGTTAAAAGTTCTACTACTTTTTTGTCTCCTTAGCAGAATCCCTCTGCCTATGGCAAAAAACAGTTCTCAGCCAATACACAGACTTGGCAGATGGCCCATGGAATGAGAGTGGTTGCTAATCTCCACTCACATAGAAAGGACTCCTTCCCTCTCCCTCCCTCTCCCTCTCTCTCTCTCTCTCTCTCTGTGTATAGCTATATGTGTATTTATTTGTGTGTATATGTTTGTGTATGTGTATGTATGTGTGTGTATATATATGTGTGGGTATTGATATGTGTATGTATATATATATACACACATACACACACACACACACACACATATATAATGTATTAGCTGTTAGAGTAGGAGGAAGGTTTGTTCTTACCTTCTATATCCTGCAAGGTTGCATTCCATCACATCAGGTAGAAACTTGTTTATGAGATTAATTTTATTAATTCATTCAACTAACATTTATTGTTAACCATCTATGTGCCAAGTATTGTTCTAAGTGCTGCAACTATTTTAACATTCTTAGTCTTAGTTCTACCATTTAGGGAGATGTAACATTGGGACTGGAACCAGTTTCTGCATGGGAGGTGTATCAAGAGTTCTGTTTTGAACAAGCTCAGTTTGACATGCCTATTAGGCATCCAAGTGGAAGTAAAATGCAGGCAGCTAGATACACAAGTCTGTAATTTGGGGGAGTCCCCACCAGAATAAATTTTGGGGTCATGAATATATGGATACAATTCAAAGCCCTGGGTCTGAATGAGATCATCTGGGAAATGAGGACCATAGGAGAAGTTTTCCATGGTACTGAGCCCAGGGAAAACCCAACATTTAAAGATGCAAGAAGACAAACCAGCCAGCAAAGGAAACAATGAGAAGGCAGCCAGTGAAGGAAGAAGTACACCAAGGCTAAAGTTTAACAGAAGCCAAATGAAGAAAGCATTTCAAGAAAGGGAATGATCAACTGTGCTGAGTGCTGCTGAAAGAATAAGTGGAGACAAAAATGTGGCCATTGGTTTGGCAACTGGTGGCCTTAAAAAGAGCTGTTTCATAATGTGGTAGGGCCAAAAGCCTGACTCAACTGAGTTAAGGAGGAAAAATGGAGGTAAAGAGGTTGTTGGAGGAAAGGTCCCCTTGGCCTTTCCATCCCAAGGATGACCTTGGCCAACCCAGTTCTTCCCACTCTTCCTTGAAAAATGCACTAAGAATTTAACACCCTGAGATAAGGAGGAAGTGTCTGAAACAATCTAAGCTATCTCCTTATTCTGAAACATTTGTGCTCATCGAGACAAGTGGTGCCCAGGCTATATAAAACCCAGGGCAAAGTACTTTTAGGGTCACTCAGCCGTGATCCAATGTGAAGTACATGCAGACAAGATTCCAACCACCTTGGGCACTTTCCTAGGCCTTGAGGGAGTAGCTTACCATGGATCTTAAGCTTCTGTTCATCCTTGATGCCAATCTTTGAGTAATAAATCAGCTTTTCCTGAGGGGAAAAAAAAAAGATTGTGATATGATCTTACAATGAAATACTATACAGCAATGAAAATGAGTTAACTACTATTACCAGCAACCACAATTTTTAAACATAATGTTGAATCAGTGAAACCAAACAAAAAGGTATGTCCTCTACTATTATTGTGATAGTAATGATCTGTGGAAAGGAAGTGGGGTTATGACTGGAAGGGAGCATGAGGGGTCTGAAGGAGGGCTAGAAATGTTCTATTTATTTTTATGTGAGTGGTACTTAAATGGGCGTGTTAACTTTGTGGTAATTCAATCTATTTTCATGTATGTTCTTTTTTAGATATATACTTTAATAAATAATCTTTTATTTATTTAAATATGCTTAAATATTTTATTAAAATAATTTTTAAAAATTTATTAATGTAGTTTTTATGTTTAAAACAAACAAACACCAAAAGGCCCTACAGGGAGGAGCTAAAATTGACTTCATGGAATGCAGATAAGGGAGGATTTGGGGGAATTATAGCACAAGAGAAACGGGGAAGGTTTGGGGGCAGAGGAGCTGCCTTCCTCATCATTCACCAAATGATGTTTAGTAGAAAGTCTAAGTCGCCTGCATATACCACCAAGCCTCCATGTCTGCTTCCTACCCTCCTGTTTGAGAAACAGGGAAAATCTCCACGTTTCTACCACCTCCATAGTTCCAGTAAAGGGTTTACAACTGAGGGATGATCCCTAGAGCCCACGTGCCCTGGTTCACTTGGAGGAGACTAACCTGAAATTCATTAGTCTCTTGTGGCTAGTTCAGGTTGATAATTGCCCACAAAGCAGTTTTACTTTCGGGAAAGAATTGCAAGATTACTCCCAACAACAACTCTTCCCATAGCTGAAGCAAAGTAAGGCGGCAGCTGTCTAAAGAGTATTCTCTCCTCACCAACCCCAGTCTCCAGCAACAAATCAGAAAGCAAGCCACACTGCCATGTTCTAGAAGCAGCACTCTTTCCATATTCCCAGAACACAGGCATCATCTCTTTGGGTATTCAATAAGCTAACTCCCTCTGCACTCAGACTAGAATCTGTAGGATTATCAGATTTACAGTGAACATATCTCCATAGTTCTTAATATTGAGGCTCCAGATTTTCAGTTCCATGAAGGATCCTACTGTCTTGCTCACCATTGTGTTTCCAAAACCTGACCCATAGTAGGTATTCAACCTTTCTTGAATCAATGAATAAAAGGAGAGATGAGAAAAAAGTCATTTTATTAGGACATAGCCTTGAGAAGGACTAAAGGCCTTTCCCCTGGTTGGAGAGGCTCCTGCATTTCCCTGGAGTGACCACCGGCCAGACTTGAATCACTCACTGACCTGATGTCCTCAAGTTACTTAATTGGCTTTCTGGAAGTAGAAACTAGACTCAGGCTCATTGCTCCCTAATTCTCTCTCTGCTACCAGCAATATGATGCCTGTCATCTGGATTCAGGATGTCAGGATTTAGCAGAAGGAGCAGAAGGTCATGGCCAGCTTGATGCCAACAGTGCTTGACTTCACCTTTGTATCCCTTTGCTCCAAAATAATCCATCTAAGTTTATAAGCACTGGATTGGGGAGCCATGTTCTCTCAACTTCAACCCCTCCCTCAAAGCAATTAAATTAATACTTGCCAGTTGCTCTTTAGTTTATAAATCTGCAAGATGAATTTAACAGACTGGCTGATGGGGTACAGGCTATATTTTTAGACTTTTTTTTCCTCTTCCTTTTTCCAAGAGCAATGCTAGCACTCCAGTAATGCACCATTTGATATTTTAGCATTTCAGATATTTTACAGTAAATTACTTCAGTTTATGGCACTTTGCTTCCTTATATAATTGTTATAAATAACCTTCAAATGACATGAAAGCCATAAACATTGCAAAACTGAAAAGTAAATTATAGATATTTCAGTGCATACAAGTAGGAACTCAAACACGTTAAGGCAAGCGAGGAAGGTAAGTTTGTTTGTTCTCTCCTTTCCTAACCATCCATCTCATATTTCCACAATAAATAATCTACAGTAAATAAATGCCAAGGAACAGAAGGGATCCTTAGCATACTTTCTTAAAGACTCAAGTGGCCCTGCAGGTGGAGGCTGGCTCCAGAGCCAAAGAGCCAGAGATCTGTGCTCAAAGAGGCTGTGTTTAAGGATGCTTTATGGCTGCCAGGAGGATTAAAAGGAGAGCAGGATGGAGACTCAAGAAGGGGGTTGCACCAGGCAAATACTCAGTCTACACCACACTCCCCAGGGTGACTTAGAGGTGCTTGCAAGGGCTTGCTGAACTTCAGGTTTGCCCATACATCATCATCAGTGTAATAGCTACTATTTATTGAGTGCCTACTCGCCGTGTCATGCCAAGCAGTTTACAAACATTTTCTCATTGAATCCTTTATCACACAGAAGATGTGCGGCAGAGAAGGACACAGGTAGGTAGGAGTTTAAAGGAGAAAAGAACCATTCGATCTGACCATCACTTTTATAACAGACCTCAGTGTTGCTAAATGATATTCTACCTGTGTGTTACGTAACTGAAATATTATTTTATTCAATGTAGATATATAAAATATGGTCTGATTTTTGTTAAACTTGTTCAACATTTTTTCATTAGCTTAATTAACAAAGAGAGTCAGAACATGGATGTGGTTTGTGTTGTTTTCAAACACTAAGAGACTTTGGTTATATCCCAATTTGACACATGAGAACCCTAATGGATCACAGAGGTTGAATTACTTGTCCAAGATACAAAAAGGTGAGGAGGGAAGGACATCCACAGCCAGTTCTGTCTACTTCTAAAGCCTGCGATCTTTTCTCTGACGTATGTGCTTCAGGAGAAACTGTCTGAGGCACCTGCCGTGTGAGTCCCCTTTGCACGGTAGGGCTGAACTGTCCAGATCACTGGAATGAGGGGCACTCTCTAATGGGTGACAATCTGTGCCCAGAGTCAACCAAAATTTGTAGTCAGGGTCCGGTCTTCTGTAGAAAGGCAGGCACCCTTCCCTTCACCTCTGTAGCATCATAGAAACACAGTTAGGAAAGATAATATCTTAGACTCATAGAATGTCAGAGTTGGAAATGACTTGCGATTTGTAATGGGTGTAATGTGCTTGTTTTACCGATGAAGAAACTGAAACCAGTAAGACTGATTTGCCCAAGGTTACACTGCATGTTAGTAGCCAAATTAAAATTCAACCCCAGAGCTTCCAACTCTTTTTGGCCAGTATGTTTTATAGTATACCTTCTAAAATTCTTCTTCTCTAGAACATCTAATACACACTCTAGAATTCTTTCTCTAGAATATCTTCTTTAAAGTGGATTTCTTATCTGTGACATTTTTTTCAGTGGATAATGTGCTTCTTTGGCCCAAAGATGTAAATAATTTTATATTGACTGATGAAGCATTTCAAACTTTTTTTACTTCAAAATTGTACAGAAAATAAGTCTTATAGCATAAGTGATATTTAACTGGGATTATTTCTTGATTGGCTCATAAACAGCCTACCCTCAAAGCCACCAGGTTGACTGGCTCCAAAGAAAACCAGAACCATAAATCTCCAGCATACATGTGCCATCTATGTATACTCAACCTTGAACCATTTACTTCAACTTACTCCTGGCAGCCAGCCCACCCCACCCTCAATATTCCTGACTAGGACTGATTGCTGATCTCATCACACTCATCAGTTTCATTGCTGGATTTTTTGTTTGTTTTTGTTTTTTTTTTAGACCAAGTCTTGCTCTGTCACCCAGGCTGGAGTGCAGTTGCATGATCTCAGCTCACTGCAACCTCTGCCTCCCAGGTTCAAGTGATTCTCTTGCTTCAGCCTCTCAAGCAGCTAGGATTACAGGTGTGTTCCACCACACCCAGCTAATTTTTGTATTTTTAGTAGAGACGAGGTTTCACCACGTTGGCCAGGCTGATCTCGAACTTCTGATCTCAGGTGATCTGCTCACAGTGGCCTCCCAAAGTGCTGGGATTACAGGTGTGAGCCATCACACCTGGCCTACTGCTGATTTATATTTGTCTTCTGATTTGACTCACACTGTTGTTTCCCCGACTACGGTCTTGTCTATCATGAACATGTATGTCCACCTCTGATAACCCTCATAACACAGCCAGAGGATACTTGGGTAAAATCCCTTTCTGCAACAACCTGGCCTCAAAACCTCTCACATCTGTGCTTCAGTTACAGTCTGACCTCTAGTTAGCATTAGCTCAACTGACCAAATTCCACAGAACCAGAAAATCTTCCAGCTCTATCCATCCCACTTCTAGTATTTTATAGCAAAGTAGGTTATGGTATGTATACTATAGACATGTATCCTCTGATTTCTAGCATTTGTGTAAACTTCAATCTAGACATAAACACTGTAATTTATGTGAAATAATATATTAGTCAAGGGGAGGCTAACTGCTATAACAATTTCAAAGGTCACTGACTTAACACTGTACAATTTTAGTTCCGTTTGATGAAATACTCCATTGTACATGTTTCTGGTCAGGCAGTTCTCCTGGGTGGCTCTCCTCCATGCAGTGATTCAGGGATCCAGAATCCTTGCAATCTGTGACCTTTCCATCTCTTGCAGTCCTGTGCTGTTTGCTCATATCCAGCCAGCAGATGGGGGTGAAGAAAAAGTGTGATGAGATGTGCAAAGTGTTTCATAGCCAGGCCTGGAGGTTACATCCATTTGATCTGCCCACGTTCTATAGGCCAGACTCAGTCACAGCAGAGACTGGGAAATGAGGTCTAGCTATGTGCCCAGTAGGAAAAGAAATAGAACTTGAGGAACACAGAGAACTCTCAATTTAGCAGAAACTGCAGGGTAAGGATGGTTACTTGAACACATAGTATGGTAGGTAATGGAAAGTTATGTTTAATAAAACACAAGTAACTTAAGGGATATAGATACTCTTCAAAATAGCTTTCCAGGTTATGAATGTAGATTCATCTCAGGGGTTGTGCATTTCAGATTTCTAACTACACTGTGT